GCCTGCCTTAGGCATGGGCTGTGCTGGCCTTTCAGCCCCTCTGCACCAAGCCCAACTTGGGTGAAGGCATCTGATGCATGATGGGTACTCCTGCAGCTGGGGCTGTGGAGTCACTGTGTGTACTGCGTTGGGCCGTACTGTTAGCAGTGTTCCAGCTTACTGGCTCCGTGGCAGTGTGTATCTCCAGGTGGCTGACCTGGGGCATGAGTCATCCTTGCAGCAGGCAGCTATGGGCCCCGTTTCATGGTGAACCAGTCTATCAATCTATGAGTTGAGAAACAGCTAGCAGAAGCTAATGGAAGCACCTGAAAGCAGCAAATCTGCATATAGAAAAAAAACCAACCCAAAAAGCTCCTACTAGAAGTTACCGAGAACCGAAGAAGAATCTTAACTCAACAGAAGATCTTGTCTGAATAAATAACTTGCAACCAAAATGCCAACCCCCCCTCCACACCCTGCTGTCAAAACTACCTTTACCACCAACTCCTCCTAATGAGAAACTACCAAAAATGTGTCCTGCCAAAGCTCCTCTTAGCTGCTGCTATTTGCTGTCCTGACTCAGCTGGTGTCCCTGTAAGCACGGGGTGCCCAATACTGTCTAATGGACAGTCCGTCCTCCCTGCCCCTTGGTCTAGCGCAGGTGGCTGGCACTGGAAGACTGTGAAGTTGGCCATGTTAGTGATTGAGTGTGAGTCCGTGAAGAATCCCTGCTCAGGAATCATCTGACCAGGGTGCCTCTTTCTTTGAGTCATAGAATAGAGGTATTAGTGATAGTCTTTGTATAGGTGAAGCACATCAGCCTCAATGATTGTGTCTTGTCAAATACCAGGGCTGGATTTAGGCTGCAGACAGCATGTTGCTTGTATGGTAAACTGTACCTGGGCCCAGACAGGGGCAATAAGCTTGGGTTTCCCTGTCTCAGTTCCCCTGCACTTCCCTTCTGTGGTTGGCATGGGCAGGGAAGTTTTGGACTGGGCTGCACCTGTTAGTACAGTTGTGCTGTGTGGGTAGTGTCTTCCTTATGTCAGCAGTAAACGTAAGACCAGGGGTAATGTGGGACCGCTGCTGAATGAAATGGGTGCCCTGGTGACAGAAGATACAGAGAAGGCGGAGCTACTGAATGCCTTCTTTGCTTCAGTCTTCACTGTCGAGGCTGGCCCTCAGGCTCCCCAGTCCTGGCAGGTAAGCGAGCAAGCTTGGAGAAAGGACAACCTTCCCTCTGTCGATGTGGGTCAGGTTAGGGATCTTTTAAGGAAGCTGGACACCCACAAGTCCATGGGCCCCGATGGAATGCACCCGC